CACATAACAGCAGAGGGAGAGGAAACACCAGACAAACAGAGGCCAGCACAGCAGCGAAGTCCTGTTAATGACAAAACACAGGTAAAGCCTTCCTCAGAAAGCGAGTGTGGAGAAACACAGATGAGACCTGAGACCTGGTGGATCAGAACCCTGCTACTGGGCAATTAAAAACCTTTTCAGTGCAATGTTAAACGGGAGCTATCCAACTCTTCCTATAAAACAAAAAGCACACACACATACACAAACACAAAAAGAAAACATCAACATACAAATACAGTAAATACATTCTACCATGTTTGGTAAACATAGACTAAAACATGGAAGAGTTTAGAATATAAAGAGAGAAATAAGACTTTTTAAATTAATCTAAATTCTTATACACCAAAATCAATCATCATAAAGCTTAAAACATTATCCATAAAAAATCCAGTAGTCCAGAGTGAGAAGCAAAAAATGTTTTAATTGAAGAGATTTAAAACTTAAACATTTTAACTGATGGACTATAATTAATTTTGGATGCAAGTTAAAATTGGGGCAGAGAATCTTCTTTATCACAACAGAATGCCAGGAAAAAGAATTAAAATTAATTTTGGATGAAAGTTAAAATTTGGGCAGGGAATATTTTTTCTTATGAAGAATACCACCGAAAGCAAGTCTAAAGTAAGATTTTGAGATAGAAAATTTTCAAAGTACAGACATAAATATAATAACTGACACAGGCAGGGGTGGTTAATCGATGATAAAATAGAGGAAGACCGTTAGAATACAGGATATTGATACTGTTTCAAACCACTTTCCAAATTAATTATAACCAAGATGTCTTTACAAGGGACAGAGCTCCTAGACGCCTCCTTTACCAAGTGACCATGCTAGTATCACAACAATGGGGATGGACACACTGGGCCTTCTCTGCCTGCAGATGGACTGAGGTAGGAAGCTCACAGCATGGACTCTGCAGAGTTCCTGGCAAAATGTTTAGGCTGAATTTAATCATGAGGACATTTTCAGATAACTTCAGAATGTAGACCATTGAGCCACACAGCTGACCTGTCCTCTACAAACATTCCATGTGATCACCATTAATGACAACAACAAAAAGAGGAAGAGATGCTTTGGGTTCAAAATGACTAAAAAGGCACAAACTACACAGTCTTTTTAGTCTTTTTGAGCCCAAAATGTCTCTTCTCCTTTTTGTTGTGTTCTTGGTGGTGACATGGACTGTTTGAAGGGGACAGGTCAGTTGTCCTGTTCAATGTTCTACATTCTGCAGTTGTCTGAGGGTTACCTCCTATGAAACTCAGGCTAAGCGTTTTCAGCAAGAACATGGCATTGTTCATACTCTGCCCTGGCAGAGTCCCGGCTGACATGCAGTCTCCTGCCAGCAGCTCCTGACTCCTGTTCTCTACACGATGGGAATTGAGAGGAGCAGGGCTAAGGCCTGTGAATGTTGTTTGTCCATCTGGGCATTGCCCTCCCTAGGCATTGATTACAATTGGAGGGGGATGGACTGTGGCTTCTCAAATCAAAGGAGCGTAGTGGTTTGAAATCATCAAGAGTATTCTGTGTCTAAAATTCAATCCTCAGTGAAGGACCCCTGCAGTATCGTGTTTGGATTTGAACTTTCTTTGCTGTTTTAGTTGTTTTCATCAAGTGTAAAAGCTACTCTTTGTGACATCCTTTCACCCTTTGCATCCTTCCAGCAGTATTTGGTATCTGTAGGGGAGAGAGAGAAAAAATCAAATGAGCATTTTTGTCAGGTCCTCCTAATGGCTGAGTCTGGACGGATTGCTAGGTAGTGATATATCAGGGGCGAAAGAATCACCTGCCAGGAGGATGAGCTGAAGCGTGGGCCGTGGGTTTACTGAAGGGGGAAGCACCATCCACAAGTGAGAAGAAAACACTCCTAAACTTCCCTGAACTTCCAGTCAGCCTGGGGTGCAAGATAT